TCCCGAGGAAGCTCGAAGAAGAACACCAAAAAGGTTGTGTCGTAAAATGAAGGAGAGCCGTCGTGATGCCTTTTATCGTGAGAGAAAGAGCCCATCGGTTCGCTACTGAATAGGCGGGAGCGGGAAGACGGACCGGGCTCCAAACACAACAAAACTCCCACTTAGAGACCGGTACACATGCAACAACATCTTCTTCCTCAAACTGATATCCTCCATTAATCTACTAAAGGCATCGCCTTTTTCTTCAAACATGAATCCTCCACCTCTTCAACTCAAAGCCCCTTATCTTCACACCAGAAGACCAAGTGAAGTTGCGCACAACTTCAGTTTCTTAAGAGTAACACCTTAACTCAACATATCAACAGGGTCCACATAGCCCTGCACCTCCAAGCTATTTCCTGGGTTACTCTTGTCTTTGCTTACAACTCACACAGCATTAGCAATATTCTACCTCTACTGAAAGTCTTTTTTAACAAGTCTAGTCTTGTACCTCTTACTGCCATCATATTCAGTCTTCACCCGGTACACTCGCTTGTTGTGTAATACCTTCTTTCATGGTGGAAGTTCTGCGAGCTCCCACTTGCTTGAATTTTCATCTTGTAATATTTATTCATAGTTCTGTGACTCTCTACCATCTATCTGTGGAACAATAAAAATGGGTGCTCCGGACCCACTCTCTACCACATTCAACGCTTCTCCATCTGCCATATATATTTTCCCAAAATCACTTGCAACATAATTTCGCATCAATTCCTGATGAAATGTTGTATGAAAAGAAGCTCATGAATCCAATATTCAGTTATCAATAGAACTATGAAATGCCAACAATATTGCATCCTGTACTTCATTAGATATCACACTTGCGTTATGATTTTCCATCTTCTTGGGATTCCTGCAGTTCCTTTTTATGTGGTCAGTTTTGCCACAATTCAAGCAGGTTGTCTGCTGACCAGACTTTGGTTTTGATCTCCCGCTATTTGAGTTCTTGTCTTGTGATCTCCCTCTGAAATCAACCTTCAGTGTCGAACTCGAACCTGAGATCTCGCCAGAATCTTTTCTACGTATCTCCTCAGCCAAAATCAAATCATGAATATCATCATATTTCACTTTATATTTACCTATAGAACTGCGAATCGCCATTACTGCCATCATCATGGCTTTCCAACTATTTGGCAACGATGTCAACAATATCAACGCACGTATCTCCTCATCTAAATCAATTTCAACAGAAGACAATTGATTCATGATAGCATTGAAATCATTCAGGTGTTGAGCAACAGAAACACCTTCCGCCTTCTTCAAATTGAATAACTTCTTCATCAAGTACACCTTGTTATTCGTCGATGACTTTTCATACATACCTGATAAGGCTGAGATGAAATCTACAGTCGTTCTTTCCTTGACGACGTTGTGTGCAACGGATCTCGATAGGGTCAATTGAATAACTCTCAGAACTTGTCGACGCAACTAATTCCATTCAGCCTCATCCATCCTTTCAGGTTTTTTCCTCAATAATGGAAGATGAAGTTTCTTCTCATAGAGGTAGTCCTCTATCTGTATCCTCCGATAACCAAAATCTGTGCCATCAAATTTCTCGATCCCTAAAACCTTCACTTCATCTGCAGCCATCGTCTTTTCTCAGATTTGAAATCACGACCTCTGATATCAGTTGCTGTGGTACATATGAAATTTAACTTTGATGAAGCACAAAATAGAATAAGACCATTCACACCAGAAAATAGTAACACAGCGGAACACACAGATTTACGTGGTTCGGCAAATTGCCTACGTCCACGGAGTTGCAAAGGATTTTACCACTTGAGGAATATACACTAGTTGATCGTTTCGACTTACAAGAGAGATCTCTCACTTCTTTGCTCGCTTCTTCTCTCTCTATATCGAGATACACCGAAGAAGATAAACTCACAAGAGCAATAAAACAAATTTCTCTTCTACTACAAGCCACCAAGAAGAAGTTAAGGGAGAACAATCATCTTCTTCGTTCTGCCGTAAGGAGCTACTGCTTGCACTTCTCTTCCTCTATCATGAGGAAGCCCGAGGAAAATCACCGAAAAGGCCGTGTCGTAAACTGAAGGAGAGCCGTTGTGATGTCATTTATCACAAGAGAGAGAGAGAGAGCCCATCGGTTCGCGACTGAAGAGGCGGGAGTGGGAAGACAGATCAGGCTCCAAACTCAACATGAGATTGTTGGGTTGAATTGCATATATTTCTCTAATGGACTTGTCTTTCTCAAAAATAAAAAAAACAAATAAATAAATAAAATCACTTTGTTGGGATAACTATATCATAAAAACCTTTTAACTCTTGGTTATCAACGTAACTTTATTTTATAAAAAAAATATGAATATTTATGTAACTTATATAAGGCTTTTTTTATTTAATATGTCATAATGATCAGCACATCATATAAGTTTTGAAAAGTATATCCAAAATCAATTCATTCTAATATTGAGCCCACCTCCTCAAGTGCTCAAATTGAGCCTCCATATCGAAGTGGACGAGCTTAGCCCACCAACTCAAGAGTTAGAGCTGAGCCAACCTGCCGAAGTGGCCAAACCGAGCCTACATGTCGAAGTTGTTGAGCTTAGCCTACCAACTAAAGTGGTCAAGCTGAGCCCGCCTTCAGAAGTAGACAATCTAACTTGGGACGAATTAGCTACCCGAGCAAGATCATCCCATGATTTTCATATTTTGATATTTTAATCAAGACATCATGGACATGTGCAGTACTATACGATTATTTTATTCTCCCTTATATTGAGGAGGCGAGGAAAGAGGGGTGAACCATTCTCTGAGGAGAATCAAGAACTCGAACTCTAACGACACATCGACTTCCTTCATCCACACCTTCATTTAAAATGCATGATCTCACTGGGATGCACGAGCTCATGTACAACAAGGGATCTTATGTTCTAAAATAATTCAACTTGATGCATTTTTTTTCTGAAATTCTTGAGCGACTAAATATAGTTAGAATTCAAATTAAGAATTTGGATAACAATCTAAAATAATATTATCCAAATCTGAAAAATGCTATGTCCGTTGTTCGGACATAACGCATGACGACATAAATCTTACAACGCAATAAGTCCAATGTCATGTTGTGATTCACTTCTGATTTTCGAGACCTAATATTTTCTTATAAAGTAGGCATAATAAAAAAATATGAAATTAATTTAAATAAACACAAAAATTAAAATCAACAAATCTATCACGTGACGCTTAATTCGGCGCCGGTGTTGAAAAATTAGAGCATGCGACAAAATAAACTTTTCCGCAACCCTAGGCCGTCAGGAGCTCTGGGCCCTTACGGCCCAGAGAGAATGGAACAGTTGAATTCCTTATATTGTCTATGTAAATAGAAAAGACTGGAGTCCAACAAAAATGTAATGTTAAGTTACTCCTTTGAAGGGGACAAAAGACCAAACTAACATTTCATGTTGGGAAAAAATTAAATTTGGGGGAGATAATTGTGCCCTGTCCTGACCTGATCCGCCCCGGTAAATATGTAACACAAATTCTATTACAAAATCAAGATTTTTTTTCTCATTTGC